GGGAAAAGCAAAGCATGACTGAGTGAGCGCTATGCCAAATTCCTAATCAGAAATCATGTGTATTAAGGATGGCGGAGTAGAGGATACTGCAAAATAAATCTCTAACTTGTCATTAAGCGCATTAACAAGAAAGAGGGAAGGAGTTTGCTTTTTACTTTTAAGTCACTGCGACTACAACAGGAGCTCAGGTTGAGCCCAGGCTTTCTTGCAGCTGCGCCCACAAATGAAAAGGCGCAAGTGTGAAGGTGCAGCCAGTTGTGACTACGAAAGAGCAGGCCAGAACTGTGAGTGGGACTCTAGGCAAACTGAAGCCGGAGCAGACTGTGGTGGACAGCATAGCTCAGCAGTACTCTGCTGCCGGGCATGGTGGTGCATACCTGTAATCCCACTCAGGAGGCTGAGACAGGCAGATCGCTGCCAGTTTGAGACCAGCCTGGGCTACAAAGTGGGCTCAGGGACAGCCTGAACTGCATAGCAAGACCCTGCCTCAAAAAAGTGAAAGCCATAAAAACTAAAAACCAGTCCTCTGCTATTCTAGAAGAGTTTTCGTCTTGCCCAGAAAGAGAGTGGTAATCCTAAACTAAACATGGAAGAACAGATGCTAAAGGTGGCTGCCATACCCAAGGCAGAATAAGAGAGAACCTATTAGTCTTGGAAAACACAGGCACTGGAATTCAAGCTGCTGGGTAAACCTGTAGATGTCACTGACAAACCCCAAGAAGGTCCTGAGTTTATCTAATGAGAAGCAGACGGACAAATGTCACCCCAGTTTTCCAGAACTAAGGAAAAGTTATCGCACATTGATATGCTTAAATCCTCGGATAGATTTGAAACTACTTGATTTACCCATAGATATTAGTGAGTTGATACAAGTTCTTTTATTTTTTTCTTGATGGAGATTGTCGTCCTTTAGAAATGCTGTTTGATCTCCACATAATGTCTTATGTGTTGGAAAAAAGAACATAAAATAGAGATTTAGAGACCTAAATTTTAACCTATGGTTAATAAACTTCACAGAGAAGTTTTTAATGTCACTAGCCCTCATTTATGAAAGGCACTAGTCACCTGTCTGTTGCTGGGACAAAGCTTACAATTTAAAAGAGTGTACAGCTTGGCTTATAGTTTCACAGGGCTCGGTCCAAGATTTGTTGGCTTTGGAGCAGAAACATCATGGTGGACAGGTGCGGCAGAGGACAGCAAGAGCAGGGGAAGGACTGGAGAACAGACCAAGGCACTGCCAGTGGCCTCCTTCCAACAGCCCTGTCCCCAGCAGCTTACTCAGCTATGAACTCATCAGTGGATGCCCCATTAATGAAGTTAGAGCCCTTGTGATCCGATCAACTTCCAAAAGCCTCACCTCTGAAAACATGAGACTTTTGCAGAACATTTTTCACCTAAACTATAGCAATGAGCCATATTTTCTGAGGTCTCTCTTATCTCCTAAGTTCTGTGATTCAGCCTTGTGATGAAAGGTAGGCTGATGACAGTACGCTCCTTAAGATGCAGCCCCAATACAACCATCATACCTGGACCACGGATGTTATGTCACAATGACCAAGGAGAGGTAGTGGCCCTTGGCTTGGCCCTTTGTATGCGTGCGTTACATACTTCAACCCCCAAAATAGGCAAGTTTTGAGTAGGCGTCACAGAATGAGGATCTGATTGGGCTGGAGGATGATTGGATTGAATGGCAGATGAAATTAATTTATATTGATATAAAACCCTAGGCCTAAATTGAAAATAAAATTTTAAAAAAACTTCACAAGTTTAGGTTAGGGAAGAGCTGATGGAGCAGGCTCGTGGATCTTTTATATTTAACCATAAGGCTCATAGCAGCAGATGGCATGTGCTGAGCCCCTCCATGGGCTTTGCACAAGATCTCATTTCTGGGGCATGACAGTGTCCTAGAATTTCAGCCCAGGAAGCACTGGTATCATTGCCACCTGTCCTGTGAGATCCTGTCATTGGTGCTGCCATCGTGGCTGGGGTGGCAGCTGACAGACTGGAGTGTGTGTAGATTGAGATAGCCTGAAAACCAGATCCCACGGGAGCAGGTTAGGAGAGCTGACCGACTTCATCCCAGAGGACGCACAACCAAACTTCGGTGTAAGACACATGGAAGAGTGATTAAGACTTGGGCTTCAACTGCCTGCTGTCAAGTCGGTGTGTCTCTATGTGTCCGTTGTGTGATGCTGAGCAAGTTAGCCCCCTTTGTGGCTCAACGTCCCCACGTGTAAAGAGAATCTGGTCACACCAACCAATAGCAGTATTACAAAGATCAATGAAATGTTCAGAAAAGCTGATGTGGCAAGCGGCAGTGTGCATGTGTAGGCCCAGGTTGACTGCCTGCGTCATCCTGCACCTGGTAGGCTGCCTCCTTGGGGGAGCCAGGAAGGTCATTCTGCCTTCAGAAAGGAGAAGAGAGGGCCAGCCAAATAGTTCAATGGATTAAAGCACCTGCAAGCAGGTACAGGGGCCAGGGGTTCGATCCCCAGGCCTACTATGTCGGACCCTCCCCCCGGGCACACTGAGACAGCAATTGAAACTGGGCACGTGGTGCGCGCCTGTAACCCCAGATCTTGGGAGACTGTACACGGGAGGATCACTATGAGTCTAATTGAGTAGTGAGACCCTGAACACCCTGTAGACCCTTCCCTAAAAAAATACCAAAAGAAAGGATGGAAGGAAGGAAAGAAAGAAGGAAGGAAGGAGAAGAGGACCAATGCATGGAAGCGAGAAGAGAGAATGTAGGGCCACCTAAAGAGACTTTGCAAATTATTCAGACTTCTCAATGAAGAAATAAGCTCCCAGTTAGTAGTTGGGAAACAAGTCAGGGAGATGTTAGAGAGATCCATTAAGAACTTGAGAGAGATCAGGAGATAAGACAGTATGAGGGGAAACAAGCCCTGCCCTTCCATCCCTCCTCTGTTGAAGTCTCTGGAAGGTGAGGCTGTAGTAATTTTAGCCCATTTTCTGTTGCTACAGCTGAATAATGTAGACTGCGTAATTTTTATTTTTATTTTTATTTATGCATTTTGTACAGGGTCTCACTGCATAGCTCAGATTCGTAGTGATCCTCCTGTTTTCAGCCTCCCCAGAGCTGAGATTATAGGTGTGCACCACCATGCCGAGTCTTGGTGGCCGGCTCAGTGTGCCTGGGGGCAGGGCCACAGCATGCAGGACCAGGGATTGAACCAGGCTCTGTGCTTGCCTAAGCAGGTGCTTAGTTACTGAGCTATCTTGCTGGCCCTGAGTAATTTTTAAAGAATAGCAGTTATTTCCCTCACAGTTCTGAAAGTCCATAGTGGAGGGAAGCAGCTGCAGCTCATGAGGGCATGCTGGCTATTCAGGACATTCTGCAGAGTCCAAAAGCATCACATGGGCCTCACTTCATGGTGTATTTGCTGTTTTTTTGTTGTTGTCATTGTTTTTGTTTTAATACAGTGTACCGAACACAGGGCCTTCTCCATTCTAGGAAAGCCCTCTATTACTATGGCCCTAGTCCTTTTGATATTTTAATTTTGAGACAGAGTCTCCATAAATTGCCCAACCTGGCCTCAAATATGTGATCCTTCTGCCTCAGCCTCCCAACTAGCTGGGATTACAGACATATATCACCACTCTCTTATATAAAGCCACTAATGTAGTCATGACCTCCCACACCCTGATAACCCTCCAAGGCCCCTAGCTCTTCGTACTATTACAGTGACACTTCACTCTTGTCATGAGTTTTGGTGGAAACAGTCAAACCATAGAAGTGAAGAAACTTGTGGACAGAAGATCTTTACTATATGCGTGCAATTTTTCTTACAAGAAGCAAGATGAAAAGCATGGATCTGGTAGTCAGATTCCCTAAGTTGGAATCCTTGCTCAGTTATTTATCATCTGCGTAATCTTGGATAACACAGCTCATCTTTCTGGGTCCAATCTGCTCATTCTGTAAATGAAATATATGATTTATAGTCCTGAGGAGGGAAAAATCAGAGCTGAAAAGTTTCTTGCTGTGTTGGTAAGCTTTATGCCAAAGTGGACTGCTTTAGAGCTACATGCATCATGCAAATTTAAGCCTTCTGACCTTCCATACCTGGGGGATGTGGGCGGTAGAGGTTGAGAAAGAAATTCTGCTAGCTCAGCAAGCACGTATGCCAGAGTTGCACTTACAGTACAGATGCGGGAGGCAGACAAATCCTGAAAGCTTTCCAAATCTTAAAATCTTCTCACAGGAAGGATGAAATAAGGGAATTAAATGACATTAGTCCATCACTTTTTGAGAATCTACTATGTGTGGGTTCTGGATTCAGCTTCACTGTAAATCTTCACCTAGGTTAGGAAGGGACAGAATTGATGACAGCATGTTTGAAGTATGAAAAAACTTTGGCAGCTGATGAGAGATCCATCTCTAGAACATTTCTAGGCCTATAAAAGTTTTGTGTCATTGTCCCCAGAGCTCGCCAGGGTTAGATCACCCCATTTCACCACAATGATTAAAACACTGAGCTCAAGCAACTTTGCCCAAGGAGTCAATTTCTGATAATGACAGGGTGGTGGCTGAGGACCTGTCACATCTTTCCAGAGAGCCCCCCATCTCTCTGTCTCTCTGTCTCTCTGTCTCTCTGTCTCTCTGTCTCTCTGTCTCTCTGTCTCTCTCTGTCTCTCCCCATCTCTCCCTGTCTCTCTCTGTCTCTGTCTCTCTCTCT